GAACTGCAAAGCTGGTAAAGAAACTGAAGCAAATATTAGAAAATTCCCTTAAAATGAGAAATTTACAGAATTAGCATTATTAAATTGTACACTATACGATGTGACCAATAAAGTCAATTAAATGCCCATCAGAGTATCAATGGCATTCTTCACAGAGCCAGAAAAAAAAATTCCCAAAAGTCATATGGAAGCAGAAACAATCTCAATTATCCAAAGCAATCGAGCAAAAAGTGGACATCTCACTGAGCCACAGTTACTAAAACAGCATGGTATGGACATTTACACACCTGGACCAGCAGAACAGAAGCCCAGCCAGACCACACAAGTCCATCAATTGGTTCTCAACAAAAATGTCAAAAGTTTTTGTTGTAGCTGGGCATTAGTGGCACATGCCTTTAATCCCAGCACTCAGGAGACAGACACAGGCAAATCTGAGTTCTAGGTCAGCCTGGTCTACAGAGTGAGTTCCAGGACAGCCTCCAAAACAATACAGAGAAACCCTGACTTGAAAAACCAAAACAAAAAACAAACAAACAAAAAAACTGAAATGCTGTCATTTGCAGCAAAAAGGCCAGCCCTGGTGGACAGAGTGAAGCACAGTAAACAGGCACACAAGATAAGCATTTGAGTGGTATCTTTCCTAAGTGAAGCTAAAGGGTCACCCTGCAAGTACATGGATGATTAAAGGGGTTCACAAAAAAAGGCAGGAGGAAGGCAGACCCACCAGCCCAGGGATTGCACCCCCACAATGGGCTGGCTCTCCTACAACAATTATCAATCAAGAAAATGCCGACACAGACTTGACCACAGGTGACTCTAATGGTAGCAATTTCTCAAAGAGGTTCCTTCTTTCCAAGTGACTATGATTTGTGAAATTGACAGCCACCGCCACTGCTGATGCTAACTATGCCCACAGTAATTGCCTTTTTAATGCAAAGTTAGCATTTTCCCTTTAAATGGCCATCTTAAAACTGAGATGTTTTTGGTTTCTCTGAAAGGCAAAGCAGCACATCGAAATGGAGCAATGGAAAGAATTCAATCCTGAGTTGTTGTTTCTGCTGCCCTACTGTGTAACACGGGGTCAGGGGGTGTTATTTGCCCTCTCTTGAGTGTCAATTTTCCTATCAGGACATTTATTTGTCTTCCCAGGTGTCCTCTGCTAACACTAACTCTATTCTCCCTGTTAAGGACAGTGACTCTAGGATTGTCCTCTGCCCCTTTCAACTGGGTCTCCAGTTCTCACTAGCTGCCAGGATTAAGATCAATGGGTGTAGGCTTTCCCAGGAGAAGGATTTCCTGACTTGGGTGCCTTGGACTAGGTGCTTAGATCCTGAATGAAAAGCCAGACTGGGATCAAGTCAGGGTCAAGGTGAAATGGCAACAAATAAATAAATAAATAAAATTTATTTTTATTTGATATGAAGTACATTCAATCTTTAAAATTCTAGGATTGCCTTTCCTGTTTCTACACTAGATTAAGAAGAGTGAATATTTGTTTGTTTGTTTGTTTGTTTGTTTTTTTCTGGAGACAGGGTTTCTCTATAGCGTTAGAGCCTGTCCTGGAACTCTGTAGACCTTGAACTCACAGAAATCTGCCTGCCTCTGCCTCCTGAGTACTGGAATTAAAGGCATGTGCCACCACCGCCCAGGTGTGAATGTTGTTTTTTAAAATGTCTGTAATTAGCCAAATAAAACCAAAAGATTTGTAAGACTTGTCCCTGAGATGACTGGGTCCACAAACAAAACTTTGATTCCAAGGCCCTGAGAGCAGAAAGGTTTGAGAAGGTACAGGCAGATCAGAGCTGGGTCATTCTCCTTTTAATTACTCTTTCCCTAGGACGGTAGGCAGGATGATCTCTTTGAACCAGGGACTACCATGAAAGTCCGTTTGGCACAGTAGTACCTGTTGAATCCTGTGGGCATCCAGGACTCAGGAAGACTGGCTTCAGGCTCCTGGAGCTATTTTTTAAGCAAACTGGGACCACCTGCCCACAGCAGCCCAGTGCTTGCAGAGAACACTGAACACAACAAAGGTCCCCAACCCCATACTGAGCTTGCAGTCTAGTGGCAAAGTCCAAGGACACTCACGAAGTCATGGTGGACAGCAGGGTGCAGGCCTGGCTTCCACTCTCTGGTCCTAGTTACTCGTTTTGGTCTTTCTAGTCATTTTTGAAGTCATCCCCGACCCTTCATGCTTGAGTTCCTGGCTTGGGAATGGTCAAGACACATCAAATGAACCCGAAAAACGCGGTTTCCCAAGAAAGGCCTGGGTAAGACAAACTTTCAACTGAGCATTCTTCTGATACTGATGGCAGAAACCGAACCAAACGTCTCCTAGAGAGGCCCCAAAAGAAAGCCATTACCATCCACATAGTCATCGGCTGTCTTAGTGTGATGGAACACCAAGTTCAGTTCCTAGCACCTACTTTAGACTCGCTCACAACTGCCTGGAATTCCACAGGCACCTGCACCAATGAGTGACACGCACATACTTTAAAACAACTCTTAGAAAAAGAAAGATTTTGGCTCACAGGTTCATCCGTGGTTGATTATCCCCGTTGCTTTCACTTGGAGAGGAAGAGGCAGCTAGCTGGTCAGGTGTTCCGAAGACAAAGTGTTAGAGGAGGAGCCAAGGTCCTGAGATACGGCCCACCCTTCCAAATAGGACCCGCCTCTTAAAGGTTACACGGGCTCCCAACAGTGCGACAGGACCACACTTCTCACACCTCCGTGAGACTTTGGAGATCCAAACCAAAACACGCAATTTCTGGTGTTCCTGCCGCAAGAGAACGCCCTCAGAGGAGTGCTGGTTTTGAGACCGAGTTGAGGGCAGATGACTCAGCCTAAATATCTCCGTGGATTCTCCAAGACTGCCTCCTGGAAAATCCCAGAGTTCTTTGCCAGAAAACTTCAGCAGGCCACATTTGCATTCTTACTATTCTCAAACTCCACCTTGTAAGATGAATGGACCGGGCAGATGTGGCCCATTTCAATCATGTGTTTTCATGGGATATCTTACTTCCGGCCTTAAGAGGATAGGCATAAACTCTTGATGAGACATTATAGAGGGCAACAGCAGCGCAGACATTAGAAAACCCCAGTAGCAGGCCAGATGGATGCTTTTATTTGGGGTTGGGGGTGGGGTGCTACACAGTGAGCATGTGGAAGTCCGTTGATTTTCTTCCGCCAGAGCTCAAACTGAGATCAGGCTTGGTGACAATTGTCATTTTCCCACTGAGCCATCCTGCTGGCCCCAGGCTGATGATTTTAGAGGACAGAATCTCAAATAGTTGGCCTGCTCTGGTGTGAAGGTCTTCCACCAGGCAGTATTTGTCAAACTCTTTCCTCTTGGCCCCGCCCACCTTTTGCAGTTTCCTGAGCTCAGAAGGTATGCCTTTTCTGCTGGGATTCAAACGAAGGCCAAAGGCCAGGGAACCCCTAGACTTCTTTAGCTTTCTCACACATTGTTTTTCTTCCAGCCCCTTACATTTCTTCCATGAAGACAGGAAATGCAACAGAATGCTCTAGCTGATTCCAGCGTAGGCAACAGCAGAATTAAGCAACCGGTGATTAGCCATGTAGCAATGTGGGAGGCCTTTGTTTATTTAGAAACAGTGACAACTGGCCCTCCTTGGAGTTATGTGAGGATTAGACAACACAACCTGGGTGGGCAGCTCACTGCGTGTTGTACACACTGTCTGACATATGTAAACCCTGTGTGTCTGGGTGGTGCCAAGTACTCTGGCTGGACCACAGCCAGCTGATATGTTAACTAATATAATTATTTCTCAGGTCTAACTTGCTTGTCTTTTTTTTTTCAAGACAGGGTTCCTCTGTATTGCTTTTGAGGCAGTCCTGGAACTCACTCTGTAGACCAGGCTGGCCTGGAACTCACAGAGATCCACCTGCCTCTGCCTCCCGAGTGCTGGGATTAAAGGTGTGCACCACCAATGCCCGGCATTTGTCTTTGTAAAAGGTTTGTCTCAGCCAGGTTCCCATGAGGGATTAAGGAATGATAATGAAGAGCTCTCTCTCTCTCTCTCTCTCTCTCTCTCTCTCTCTCTCTCTCTCTCTCTCTCTCTCTCTCTCTCTCTCTCTCTCTCTCACACACACACACACACACACACACACACACACACACACACACACAGTCTTGCTCTGAGTTGCAGAGTGCTTTACAGATACTGGAGGACATAGCCCACTAGAGCTTGTGGCTCTGGCAGGCCTTGCCCTTCTCCCTCATCCCCTCTGCCTTGCTAAAAACCATTACATTGCATTCCTAAAGCTAGTCATCAAGGTGTAGTCCCTTATTTGGTCACTTCCTCTTGAGGCTCACCACCAAGGTCCAGATATCAAAGTATTGAAGTCCAGCAATCAAAAGCCCCCTTTGGCTCATCTAATTAACACACCCAATTAAAATTAAACAGCTCATCCTAACTTGGGGTTTCCCCTTTTATCTTTATAAACTACCATTTGCCTATGTGCCACATCTGTCTCTCTCTAGCCAGAGAAAGTCCTTTGTCCCTTTCCCTTGTCCCCTCCCCTTCTCCCTCATCCCCTATCTCCTTTACCAAGGCATCCTAGCCCATTCTCACACTGATCTCCCCTTCTCCTTTTAAGGATGACTCCTACAAGGTCATTTGCTGCTGTTTTTCTGCCTGAGTCAGAAAGCAGCTGCTTTAACTTTTCTTTCCCACTTTATAAAGTATTTCTCGGTGAAAACAGGTGTTTGGGTGTGGTCTGTGCCTAATCCGGGGTCTGGGAGGAAGATCCCGCTGTTCAAGGGTCTCCTTCAGATATGAAGTGAGGTATTATTTGGATCCTGTGGGAAATAGTACCCAGAGCCTGAATTCGTGGCACCCAGACTCTAGCTTCGAATGAAACCAGACAAAACTCAAAAGACCTCGTACTCATTTCTTCCCCTTCCTCAAAGAGCCTGGGACGCAGTTTCCTGGTTTTATTTGAACTAGGGTCAAACAAAACACAGCTAAGTGTATGGATTTTAAGTGCTCAATGAGTTTTAATGACTATCAGTTTACCATCCAAATCAAAATAAAGGACATTCCTAGTACTGGAGGTGACTTCTCTTCTTCCCACTCCTCTTCCCACCCCTCCCCCCACCCAGAGGTGACTTCTGACTTTTACCACTACCACCAGTCTTATGTGAGTCTTTTATTTTCTCATTTCCTTTTATTTTATCTTCTTTCCCTCCTTCCTTCCTTCCTTCCTTCTTTCCTTCCTTCCTCTTCCCCTCCCCAGTCATGAACTCTAAGAGTTACTCATGCCTGGCTTTTGTTCAACTTGTAGCCTACAAAATGTCTCCATGTTGTCACACTTTTCTCCCTCCCACCACTCACTTTTTCTCCCCTGAAGCTGTTGTTCCCAGGCATATAACACAACATGCATTCAACTGTGCAAACAGAGCTAGTGCACGTGGAGCTGCTGGATGACAAAGGCAGGCAAATATCTAGCTTCACAAGAGTGTTGCCCGGGAGCTCTGAACACTTGACACGCCCTAGTTTTTGAACATGTCACAAAGGAGCTTCTCCATTGGAGTGTTCCCTATGGTCTTTCGGAAGAAGAGGAGCTCGATGCGCTCAGCAGTGATGAACCTCAATGATGGGAGCAGAAGGAGCAATTTCCCAAACCTGAACAGGAGGAAGGATGCTGTTAGGCTTAGGGCCAGCTGTTGAGCAAGGCTATGGGGGGGGTAGAGGTGCCCAGGGCCAGCAGGGGGCATTTCAGGGAAAGGCCCCTGAGTTAGAGGGTTCACTTCCACCTCCCCACTGGTTAGGAGCATGAAGAAGACAGGAACTCGATAATATTATTCATTATGTTGTCAAGATTATAAAGTGAGAAGTTGTTTCTTTGCAACATGCATGTGGGGTGTGTGTATTGAATGAATACATGTTCACCGAGCTGTCTGTCTATGTGTATGCTTATGTGTTCGGGTGGTAGTTGAGGTCAAGTGTCTTTCTGGTCCACTCTGCACTTTATTTACCAAAGCAGGGTCCCTTGCTGAACTGGAAGCCAACCAGTTCTGGCTAGTCCAGCCAGCTAACTTGTCCCAGGGACCTCCTGAGTCAGCCTCCCAGGTGCTGGGACTGCAGGCAGCTGCCAGGCCTGCTAGCCTTCATGCCAGTTCCAGGGATCTGAGCTCCAGTCTAGACTCCATGTTTGTGCAACCATCTCCCAGCCTGTGAGACATTTCTGATAGCAATCCTGTTTATATGTTTGTTGATTATATGGACATTCTAAGTTATGTTAGTTTACATAGAATTATGAATGCCTGTCTGTGAAACACCTATTAAGATGATAACTACTACTGAAAATATTCTGAAGTCAAGGGAGAGTTTGACTGCCTGAGATCTGAGATACACCCAGAAAAAAAAAATCCATCCTAGTTTCAAGTAAGAACCATTTGCTAAAGTGGGGGTTCCAGGGTGGGGAAGAGAAAATGAAAAAGAAAAAGAAAAAGAAAAAGAAAGAAAATCAGAACAAGATGTCCCTGGGGAGGATGAGTACGGCTGGGGTCAGAGCCTGCCACCCAGAGGTTGAGTGCCTCGGTGCAGCTGCTGGCTTGATTGATTGCACCGGGAGAGCTATGAGAAGCCGTGCCATTCATTCTGAGCTGAGTGGCTCTGCCCACCTAAAACACTCCTTTCTCCTGTGAACAGTCACACACCCCACACACATCCTGGTCTACCTTCCCCTCTCCTGTCTTCCTAGTATATCCAGGGGGAGGGAAGAAGTAACTGTGAAGTCTACTGGAGAGTTACTGCAAACTGCAGGTATGACCCCACCTGGTAGATAATGGCAGGTAATGTCTCACAAATGGACTTTTAAAAATAAAATAGAAAATAAAGTAGAGACTAAGGATGTAACTCCTTAGAGTAGAGTTCTTTGTCTTTTCCTTTCCTTTTTTTCCTAGACAGGGCTTCTCTGTGTAGTCCTGGCTGTCCTGGAACTCACTCTGTAGACCAGGCTGGCTTGGAACTCAGAGATCTGCCTGTCTCTGCCTCCCCAGTGTTGGATTAAAGGTGTGTGTGTCGCCACTGCCCAGGCTTAGTAGTTTTGCTTAGCAGGCACAAGGCCCTGGGCTCCATCCCCAGCAGCACATAGCCCATGTGTCACCAACCCTGTCATCAACCCAGTGCTCTGGAAGGGAGGCAGGAAGATCAAGAGCTTAGCTTACCCCAGTGGCATGGTGAGTTCAGGGCTAGCTTGGACTACATGAAACTTAGTCTCAAAGCAGTGTTTCAGAGCAGATCATACAGAGAAAGAGTGGGTTTTAGTTAGTGGGACTTGGTTTCAGTGTCTCTGTGTAGGTTGTGCTGAAATACATTGACCCAGAGACTGGAGACCCTGCAGTGATACTCAGTTCTGCCTAGAGTAATGAGCGGCAAAAGTGATCGAGGAAGCCTGTGTGTGCAGAGGCCAGAGGTGGTCCTCCTCACCCATTACCCACCTTATCTTCATTTCGCATGTGTGCACTGGTGTATATACCCACAGAGGCCAGAGGACGACCCTGGGTATCCTGTACATCCCTGCTGTTGTCCCTTGAGATGAGGTTTCTTTTTGTTATTTAGACTGGCCGGACAGAGGGCTCCTGGGATCTGCCTGTTTCTGCTGCCCAACACTAGTTTTTATTTATTTAGCTTGCCTTGTCCTGCATTTTCAGCTTTTTCACATGAGTGCTAGGGATTTGAACCCATGTCCTCATGCTTGCACACCAAATGCTTATCCACTAAGTCATCTCCTTAGCCCTTCCTCCCTATGTTTTGAGACAAGGTCTCTCAACTGATTCTGGAACTCATCAGTTCAGCTAGGCTGGCCGGCCAGTGAGCTCCCTGGATCCACCTGCATCCACCCCAATTCAGTGCTGGGGTGGCAAGATGCATGCCACCATGCCTGGCTTTTAAGTGGGTGCTGGGGATCCAAACTCAGGAGCTCATGTTTTCTTAGCCAACACTTGAGTCAGTTTTCCCCTGCCCCTTCATAGAAAATCTTCCTCAGTATTTTTGAGGGCTGGCCCCAGAGGGGACTAGAGAGACCCCTGGTTTCTGGTGGTCTGTGATGACCCCTCTTGTCATGCTATGTCTGTCAGGCCTTAGTGCTGCCACTTCACCATGCTCCCTCTGTTCCCACACCACATGCTGTTGTCCTTGTCTACCGGAGAGGTACTGGGCAAGGATCAGGTCACCAGTTCTTCAGATAGAATGCAGGTAACGTCATCTAGTTCAGAGGCCAGGCTGAGTGGTACAAGCCAGCTGATATTTCAGTGTCATTCCTGATGCTAGGCTAAGTTGGGACCCTCCACCTGCATCCTCCCCCAACCTCCAGTGGCCACATCCAGTGTTCATTCATGCCTGGCTTTTCCACACACCTCCACAGCATGCCTTCCATACTTTCTCTAAAGCTTGGCAAACTTTCCTTTTGAGTTTTGAAAGTCAGACACATCTCTTCGTTCACTCCTTGCCGTTAGCCTTTCTCACCTCCACATTTGCACACTGTTGTCTACTTCCTGCTCCCTGTGGTCACCCCCCCCTCAAGGCCATGACCCTGTGGAATCTCCTGGACAGGGAAGCTGCTGTTCTGCCTTTTGTGCCCATTGCCACACAAGTCTGCATGAGATCCCATCCTGAAGCATGAAGCCTCCTCCCACAGACTCCCAGGTGTCCCCTCCACCTCTCTCATCAGACAAGCCTTTAGTGGGCACTCCAAGCTCTCACCAGGCTGGTCCCAGCGTAACTCTCTGGTTCAGTCTCCTACCTTCTACCAGCAAGACTCTTTTGACCCTTCCATACTAGAACCCTGCCTAACAATGCATGCCGCTGGTCTCTACCTTCAAGGATAAGATTTTTCTCTTCTTTTTAGACCCTTATCCTATTATGGAGACAAAGTCCCTGTCAAAGACTCAGGTTATAGAAGGACACACCTATAAGACTAGCACTTGGGAAGCAGAGGCAAGAAAACTCTGACTTTGAGACCCATGTGGGATATAAATTGAAATCCTGTCTTTAAAAAGTAAAAGTTTGCCAGGTAGTGGTGGCATATGCCTTTAACCCCAGCACTTGGGGAGCAGAGGCAGACAGATCTCTATGAGTCTGAGTCCAGCCTGGTCTGGTTTATAGAATGAGTTCTAGGACAGGCTTCAAAGCTTTACTAAGAAACCCTGTCTTGAAAAACCAAAAAAAAAAGTCAAAATTTAAAAGCCTGACATTTGCTATCTACCTCAGATACAAACTATTTTCCAATCCTGACCTGGGTGATCCTTGTCATTCATGTGGCTACTGTGGCTGAGCTTCCATCCCTGTAGGTTTTGTTTTTGGTGCCTTTCTGGACCTGTGTGTGTCCCCAGGAGGTGTTGGGTAGATGCTGCCTACTGAGTCCTTTATCCTGTCTAAGCAGAGAAGCCCAGAGATGCTGTGGGAGAGGAGGTGGAAGGAAGGAGGAAAGCAGGGCAGGTAGACGGGAAGGTGGGTCATTACTGTCACCTAACAGGCTGGCTGGGGTGGTGAGCCTTGCTATACTGGCTTAGCATCACTTGGGACTGGTCCTGCAAAGCCTCCACGTGGTCAGGATCCTTCAGGCCTCGAGTCTCTGGGGGGGGGAAGCAGTACTGATGAGCGACCTTCCAGAAGCCTGCCTGACCCCACAATCCCTAAGAGTACCAGGCCACACCTCTTTTCTCTGCTCCCCCTCCCCCAGAAAGAAGGCTATCTGTTTACACCCAGGTGGGTTTATGAAGAGCCCAGCAGAAGGAGGTCACCAGAACCCTGCCTTTAAAAAAACAAAAACAAAAACCTCCCAACCATGTCTCTGGAAGGCTTGGGCCAAGGCTCAGTACCGGGTTTGAAGAGGACCAGGGCCTTCATGCAGGCAAACTCTGTGGGGTCCACTGCCAGTGCACGGAACCGGGAGATTGTCTCCTGCAGAAAGCGCATCTCTGCGCTGGCCAAGACCAGCCTGCTCTGAGAGCCGCCAGAGGCCTCTGGTGGTGCCAGCAGTGGGCAGCTGTCCAGGGGCAGAGACCACTGTATGGCTCCAAGGAGGAAAAGCTCATTCCACGCCTCTTCCAGCAAGATCACCTGTGAGCAGAGGGGGTTTGAGTGTCAGCACAGGTCCCGCCTTTTCCAGGCACAGAAGGGCTGCTCCCAGGGGCAGAGAGCCCCTGATCTCTGTCTGCCCAGGCTCTGGCTCAGCTACCTAGGTTTCCAGATGCCTTGTGGACTCTATCCAGAGCTGTGGCTGGGCCATCCAGAGAAGTCTAGAGCCCAGGGGTGCTGGACAGCCTCCGGATGATTTCAAGAGTGTCAACATTGAGTGAGCTCTCCTGGATCACTGTGAGATCTTTGTCTGCTCAGAGAACTTTTCCACATGTGGAAATGCTGGGGTGACACTCAGGCCTGAAGTCATGGGGAGCCTGTGTTCTAAAGGTACCCACCAGAGTGAGCCACTTGGCTGTTCAGGGTATGCAGATTGCTGTCTTGAACAGAATGACTACAGGCCAGACAGTGTGCAGAAGGAAAGACAATGGACCCAGAAAGCCACGGGTCCTATTTGCATCCTGGGCTCTATGCATCTCTGGTGCGCATCCTTCCCCCCAGAGACATATATATATATACATATATATATCCACTGCCACTGTCTTAGCTCAGTGACACAAATACCCCATGGTATGCACAAGTACACCAGGGGGATATATGTTCCCCAAAGCTGGCTAACCTATGAGTGCTGACCATGCCTGGCCAGCTCCAGCAGGCAGGCTGTGTGGTTTACCTGATCCCTGAAGGGCAGGTTGGAAAACACGGGCAGGTTTTTGGCCCATTTGACAGCCATGAAGAGTAGACGAGCTGATGTCTCATGGATGCCATCCAGATTGCAGGGGGATGCAGGGAACTCAGGGTCATTGCTGGTGACGTCGATATTCTCTTCGGCTGTTGAGGAAGGATGTTGTGGCTTTAGTGCCCGCTCTGTGGAAACTGAGTGAGAGGATACATGCCTGCTACCCTTCCACTTACCATCCTCTGGCTCCAACTTAGCACAAGTTTCAGCGGTGATGAGACTGGCCATAAAGTGGTGGCCCATGGCCCTGGCTGCAGATGAAGATGTGGGGCCTCGGGGACTGGGCCCTGCCAAAGCAGGGGAAGCCACCAAGGGCTCAGACCGAGGATCACTGCCTGCTTCCATGCCGTCCTGGTGGACCTGGGCCATGCTTCGGGGTTGGCGCTCATTCTGCACAGCTTGGAAGGCAGAGAGACTCAGGACACACCTCTTTGGTCTTTTGTGTGGGGAGCACCATCCAGATCCCAAATAAATCACATGGAGGCTTATTCTTAATTATAAATGCATGGCCTTCGCTTGGCTTGTTTCTTGCCAATTTTTCTGACTTAAATTATCCTGTTTATCTTTTATCTCTGGGATTTTCTTGTTCTTTTGGTTTTTGAGACAGGGTTTCTCTGTAGCTTTGGAGCCTGTCCTGGAACTCACTCTGTAGACTTGGCTGGCCTTGAACCTACAGAGTTCTACCTGCCTCTGCTGGGATTAAAGATGTGTGCCACCACTGCCTGACTGCCTCATCTTTCTCTATTTCAGTATACCTTACTTTCACTCTAACTCGTGGCTGGCTGAAGGGCTAGGTGGCTGACCCCCGATGCCCTCCTCTCCTTGTTCTTTCATTCCCTTTTCCTCCTTTTCTTCTCCTATTTATTCTCCCTGCCTGCCAGCCCCACCTATCTTCTCTCCTGCCTAGCTATTGGCCGTTCAGCTCTTTATTAGACCATCAGGCGTTTTAGACAGGCACAGTAACATAGTTTCACAGAGTTAAATGCAATATAAAAGAATGCAACACATCTTTGCATCATTAAAACAAATGTCCTGGAGCATAATCAGATGCAACACACCTTAAGATAATTTTCCACAACAAGTGACACTCCCTGCTCTACTGCCTTCCTCACCTCACCATGCCCATCACTCACCATCTTGGTTCATGCCTGCTTGTAAGCACTTCTTCAGTCGGCAGGCCTGGCACTGGTTGCGATGGGCCTTATCCACCGGGCACATTCCTGCCCCCACCTGGCACCTGCAGAGAACAGGGAGCTCCTGGGGGCAGTGTCATGCCCTCGACTTTGGACATTTGCTTTTCCTGAACCATCTCCAGCCCGTGCTAGGTAGGCTGGGGCAGGCGGGGGGGGGCAGTGGCACCTGTAGATGAGCCTCCGTCTCACACTCCTCTTGAAGAAGCCACTGCAGCCATTGCAGGCGTAGATGCCGTAGTGCTTCCCACTGCTGCTGTCCCCACACACTCGGCACTGGAGTGAGGGGCCCACACCTGAGTGGGGAGCAGGAATGGACTGAGATGGTTGCACCCCCCATCCATCCTTTTCCAAGCCCGTAGTTCCCACCTTTCTAGTCCAGCTACAGTTACACCACTGCCATCTAGAAAAGCAGTTTCCCCACTATGGCACCCGAGCCCCAGCTTCCAGCTCTTACCATCTCTACCCCCTCCATAGCCTATTTCCAGCAAGACAGCCATGCTGCCCTCATTTTCCCAGCCCGTTCCTTCCCTGGCGGCGGCTTCCGGCCCTCATGACAAGGGTCATCAGATCTCTGTCTCTCAAGAGCACCCGTTTCCTTCCTCAGGGGTGCCATTGTTGGGTCCTGCTCTGCTGCCTTCGAGTTTCTAGGACTTTGGGGTTGTTGGCAGCCCCCTTCATGCTTGCTTACAGCCTGGGGGTGGGGACTTCATGGCTCCAGCTCCTCTCCCGGTCCCCTGAACCGACTGCTTGTATTCTCTTCCTCAAGGGCCCAGACCTCACCTCCAGAAAAGTCATACCTGTTGGATCCTCTCCAAGACCCCACCTGCCTGGAGACTCCTTCTTGGAGGCTGTCACAGCCACAGCTACAGCAGAAGCAGCCACTGTAGAGCTCATTGGATATGGCAGGTCCCAAGGGCAGCCTGTTACTTGCCTGCAAGCAGCTGCTGGACCTAGCCTATGTCTCCGTCTCTACCTCTGTCTACTGTTTGTCTGGCTGTCTGTCCATGCGTGTCTCTCTTCTGCTTCCCTTCCCTTGTGAGAGAGGAGTTTTCCGTCTGGAGCGTTCTCCCCACCTTGGCTCTGGGTCCAGACTTTTCCTAGCACAGCTCTGGGTGCAGGGGTATGATCCTCTTAATCTTTACTGTCTCCACAGGGGATCAACTGGACACACCTTTAGCATTACGCAGGTGCCCCTGGGAGCTGTTCAGTCCTACTGCCTTCACACTGACTCCTAGTGTCCCTGTCCATCCTTTGCTGCCCCTACACACACTGCCCAGGACCGAGCGGCCTGGCTGACACTGACAGATCTTCTGGGGGAGGGCATGTTGTAGATGCCACTCCCCCAAGGACTTTGAATGTTTTTGTGACATTTGCCATGTATTTGAGGCATGTGTGCCTGTGTGGGTTCCTGCCCTGGGTGCTTGCTCACTTTGGGTCCTGGGAAACCCATCCTCTATCCTAATAAAGGACTGCTTGGGGCCTTGCTTTGGGGACCCGCCCCCTGGAAAGCTAGCATCACCAGATGTCTCTTCGATTCTGGTTCAGGGGTGGTGTTGGGTAGGCTGGGGCCAGAGGAGAAGTTGGTGGGCATTTTCCCACGGCATGATGAGGTAGGACACGGCTGCCTGGAGCAGGTTCTGCGTGCCCAGGAGGCCTTCACTTCCTCCGCTGACCTGGACTCCAGTGCCAGGCAGTCAGTCTGTCTGTTGAGCCCAGCTTAAACCTGGGATGATTTTGTGGAGGGAGAGTGGGTGGGAGTGCCAGGGCCCCCACAGGAAGAGAGGTGAGGACAAGGACAGATCCACCGCCATGCATGTCTCTGCTCTGTCATGGGCCATGCACCCCCAGCAAGCGGCAGCCTCCGGGAATCTTGGTTTTCTCCAAACACCTGTGTAGTTGGGTAAATGAAGTTAAGTCATTCCCAGAATGTGTTTTGGTGCCTGGTACAAAGAAGGCTGAAGCAGCACCCCAGTAAACATCTTGTCCTGTCAGCCAGTCTGGCTTATGCCATCCTCTCCCCAGGCCTAAGAAAGACAAGGAGTAGCATGACCTGGGGGAGGGGAGTCCCATCCTCACCTGGCCTTGCCTCACAGGATGGGGGAGGGCAGTTTCTGACTGCATTAGAGCCTGGGAGCTTCTAGTGGGATCATGGAGTTAAGTGGACAGAAGGGGTGGGGCATGGCCTCCTAAGTGGGGCTAACCCTCACTGTGACAGGGAAGCACTATTGGGGATTTGGGAAGTCAGCTCAGGGATAAAGTCCTGGGGTGGCCCCAGGGGGGCCTTGGGGAGGCTTTCAGGCAAATTGAGCCCAGTGACATTGACCCACCAGGTGTGAGCTCTAGGCAGGTGCTGGGAAAATATGACCACGGGATGCAATGCCTTCCCCATGGGGCATTGCTCTGGTCAGGCCCTGAAGGCAGAGCCAACAGGTAGAGTGGGTAAGGGGGTGCCCCTCCTGTTCACTTGCTTCAACCCTACCTTTCCTCTTCCAGACCTGCTCAGTGTTCCCTCAACCTACCCGTTCCCTATTGCTAGACCTCGTGCAGGGCCAGGCTCTGTCCTTAATGTTGAAGTTTACTCTGGGTCTACTTCCTCCCCTCTATCCATATGGAAGGCACCAGAAATGGGCTTAGACTTTAACTTAGCATCTGGTCAGAGGGCATTTGAATAGGTCTGAATTTGTATTCCCCAGATATTCCCACCTTTGGTATGTTCGGCTCCCCCAGAATTGAGCTGTGCTGGTAAGAATGATGATGACAGGAGATATACTATGTAGGGGTTAGCTGAGCCTAGGGTGTAGGGGTCCCCCAGCCTGTGACCGCCAGCTGCTGGGGCAGACGCCAAAGGATTACTCAACTCAAAGCCTTGAAACTGCTGACAAAGCCACCAGAGGCCACCTTATTAATGCAATTATTCCTCTAAGGGACAGGTCAGCAATTTCTTCTGATTCCCTAGAGGCCTGCGGTACGTGGTTAGCATGGTGCAAGCTGCAGGGTTGACCTCCTTAGAGCCTGGACTCGTAAGTCCCTAGTCCCAGTCTGTCTGGGGCCTGACCTGCCAGGGCTCTGCCTGGTGAAGGAGGGCCTGACCTGGCAGGTTGGGATGGCAGCTGCTGCCTGTCAGCTTGGTGACTGGCTTCCATTCCAGCAGCTGCATGTCTACAGCATGGGGTCCCTGGAGCAGATCTCCTGTACTCCATGCTAGCCTTAAGCTCACTATGACCTTGAAAAATTTCCAACTTTTATTTGGTTCTTTGACAATTTCATACATGTTTAAGAAGCATCTGTCTATTATATCTCTCCTGAAACCCTCCAACTGACCTCTATCATACCCTCCTCCTCCCTACAGATTCCCTACAAACAAATAAACAAACAAACAAAAGATCCCAACAAACAACTACAAACACCACATTTTGACTTTGCGGGGAGGGGTTTGTTCGTTTGTTTTGAGACTCAATGAGTTTAACTGGGAATGTCTGTGTGACTATGGGTTTGATCTGGAGGGCTCCTCGGTGTTACACAATGACTGCCCCTCCCTCGGGATCTATTGGTAACCAGTATTCAGTGGGGAGAAGGGTCGCATAAGCTCCTTTCTGATCCATGTTGGAAGGCTAACAAGCCCAGTCTTGTGGAGGCAGCCACAGCTGCTCTCAGGTCAGCTGTGGACTTCTGACCCTTTCCCCTCTGCCCCCTTAGTGTTGGGGTCACGGGGTGAGCCACCCCACCTGCTTTGTGTGGTTCTGGGACTGGTACCAGGGCTTTATGCCAGGCAAGCAAGCCACCACCTGAGCCACACCCCTCTCTTTGAAGAGCTACAGTTAGTTGAGAGCATGCGCTCTTCAGAGCTAGAGGCCCAGTAATTTCATTTCCCAAACCTAACCAAGAACATTTCCTGAGGACTGAATCCTGCCACAATTTAGTGAGACATCCACCTGTGGGTGCATCTGTGTGCCCCACCCCTCCCACAGAATGCCTTGCAGCCACTTCGAGCAGCGGGTGGGTGGGAACACCGCTGCTCTCTCAGCTTCAAAGCCCTTCAAGACAGGGTTTGCAGCTTGATTTCATAGGTCTCAGGAGACTAAAGATGGCAGGATGCTGGGCTCCTTAGCCAGGCCCAGCTGAGTCAATGGCTTCTTTATCTAGCACGGGCAGTGGCCAGGTCAGAACTCAGAGAGGCAGACACTTGTGGACAGACACTAGCAGTCCCTCCACAAAAGCTCTTTATTCTGCCCTTTAGATAACATTTAGAAGTAATCAGATATCCCCTGCACAGCCATCCAGTCCATCAATGGAGAAGTCTTTGCCCTTAGCATTTTAAAGACCTGAGAAGACCTAGAGGCCCTACCCTGGGCTCCAGCTGCAGGGGACTCTCTCCTTCCTTCATCTGAGATGGCAGGCATCTGGGTCGGTTCCTCCCTCCTGACAGACCCTCTGAAGGGTGGGCACCTCTGTTTCCTAGCAGATCAGTGTGTGTGTGTGTGTGTGTGTGTGTGTGTGTGTGTGTGTGTGTGAGAGAGAGAGCTCTCGAGAGACTGAATATGTGTGTATGTGTTGTATGTACGTGTGTGTGTACATGCGCATGTGCATATGCTGGAGGACAGAGGTGCCTTGCTTCACCTTATTCCCTTGAGACAGTTTCTCAGAGAAGCACCCCAGTCCCCTGGATCTGCCCACATCTGCCCTCAACACTGGGATTCCAGGCACACACACACACACACAGCTTCTGTGTGATTGGCAGGGATTTGAATTCAGGCCCTTGTGCTTGCATAGTAAGCACTTTACTCACTGACTGAGCTGCCTCCCCTGACTCCTACTAGAAGAATATTCTAGAATCACCATGGCAGAAGTTCTCATCAGAAGTAAAATTTTTGCTGTTTTTTTTAATATTTCCTGATGAATATGTTTTACAGCTAAAATCAGGATAGAAGAAAGTACTTTCATTTTTAGCAAACAGGGTGAGTAGATAGGAAATCATACTGCCCTGAGTAATACTAATAAGAAACACTTAGGAATAAATTAACCGTAGGCTGGGCACATGGAGTCTGTTCTAATGCCTTCTTAACTATAAGGCTAACACATCTACAGCTGGTCTGGCCCAGCCTTTGCTGAGTGAACAGCTGCGGCCCGCAGCAGCTCATCCAGGGGCTCCCACCCCACCCTGCCCAACCACCTGCTGAACCGAATGGTAAACTAATTCATTGTGGGCCATGGGTCAGATCTGGAGTAGTGAGGACTGTGGGGGTTCTCAGCGGGGGTTTGGGGAGAGTAAGGAAAAGTTTGAAAACCAATATAGAAGTATTTTAAAAATTGTCTTTGTTTTTTTGAGACAGAGTCTTGACAAGCAGTCCAGCCTGAGCCCCAGCTCCCAGGGCCAAATTACCACTGTGGGCAGCCATGCCCTGTTAACTTATAGCAAAAGGCCCAGCCATACCAACGCACAGGAAAATCAAAGGGATTTCTCTACAGGAACCTCCTTGTTTTCCATGCTGACTCTCCATAGAATGTTTCCGGAGCTTCAAGGGTATTTGGGAGAATTACCATGGCGGGGCATGTATGAACGTGCAGGAATGCACACAAGGGGTGAAAATAGGCCATGTGCTGTGTTGGCGCTGCTTGTCACTGCCCACATCTACTTATTCTTGAGGCCCCGGGCAATGTCGTGACAGCTGCAAGGATTATAGAAAATCCCCAGAGGGGCTTCGATGACGGAAGTGTCCTAACATAACACAGGGTGCCATTTTCTATGTGACTTTTGATACGGAGCTGTTTCCTGACACTCTTAGTTATATTCTCTCATTTGTCAAAAGTGCTAATCCGAGGCTCACATCTCCTGCACCTCTGCAGGGAGATGAAGGTGTCCTTTAGAAGGGTGTTTTTAGAAGAAACACACAAGGCGGCGGGTTCAGGAGGAACAGTTGTTCCCTGTCCTTTCAGCCTGCACTGCCCAGCCCTGACGCCACACAGAACAGGTGTTCTTCCCTGCACGTGGCCTTTGGTGCCTGTGCACAAGCGTGTGTGCACGGGGGGGGCAACACTGACGTCAGGAATTATCCTTCATCGCTCTTTCCCAGTGTTCTGTAAGACAGGGTCTTCCAATCAAACCCAGAGCTCATCAATATGGCTAGTCTTGCTAGCTAGCTCTGGGATCCCATCTCT